AGAGGGGGCCACAGGGAAGTACTACTTTTTGGTTTTCCTTCTGTTGCTTTGTCTGTCCGTCTTTCACTTCTATGCACTAAATGGCCGTTATTGTGTTGATGAGCTTCTCTTTAAATGTACAAATCTGTCTTCCAGAACGATGGTTCGTCTCCATAAGACCGCAGTTTGCCGAACAACCTGTCAATATAAATCCTTGGCTACAGATATGTTAGCGCTTTCAACATAATTCATGTCTGCTGAACCCTGTTTTGTAAGAGTCAGGTTTTTGCCATCTGTCGAAAACACAACAGTCAAAAACGTAGGTTCGGTTCCCACCTTGGTTACATGCTCTACGGGGTATCTCCTTGAGTTTTGAATATGAGTTTGAGTAAAGAGAAGCACATCGACACAGTAATAGCCATATAGGGCAAGGAAGTAGCTCGACAGACAGACAGAAACAACAGATGGGAAGAAAAGAAGCACGACCAACCAGTGGCACCCTCCAACCACCAGAAGGGTATCACCGTCCTTCCACTGGGAAAGTTGTTTGGTTGTTATTTGAGTAACAAAAAGGTCAGCAACACAATAGCGGTCATTTATGGATGAGAAAAAGCAAGACAGATGGACTGACACAAATAGGGGAACGGAAAGTTTAGTTTTCGTAGGCATTTTAAGCACTTGCATCACAATAAGATCATATAAGTGCCGAAGATTAGAGGTGTTACAAAGGAGTAACAAATACAAAAAAAGGAGGAGGAGAGATAAGGACGATAGATGTTCGATAGGAAAGAAGGAGCAAACCACACTGGAGCACCCTCCAACCACCCACGGGGAACGGAAAGAAGTATGACAATTTATTGGCGCCCTCCAACCACCCACTGGGATGCGGCACTTAGTTGCAAAACGGGATGCAGTTCAGGCAGACCTGAGTAAAACAGCCTGTCACCGAACTGATCCACAATGTATTTGTATAGGCGTATAGCATACAAACATGGCAAATTGCATTTTAAAAAACAACTTACAAAACTTGTTCTGATCAGGTTGAGCATTCTGTGGTCACGTCGTTTCTGATGTTACCGCGTTGCAGCGTTACGTTTCTTTTAGCAGATTTGAAAAAATCTAGTGAAATCACACACATTTCCACACAGATGTCCCCATTGCTATACTGGCAAACACATTGCTACTCTAACACACACACATTTCTATACTGACACACACATAAACGAGCAAAATCGTATTAAGCAAAAGGGTATCAGCTCTTGCTTTGGACCGTAAAAGTCTCAATAGGAAAGGAGAAAATCCAGCAGACATTTGAAATCACGTGTTTCAAGCTCTAGTGATTTGGTCGCGGCTGGATGAACTTGGAGTAGGAAGACCAGAAGTTACGACTCCAAGGAATATGCCAGCAACTTTACAACAGAATGCAGGCTTACATTGAGGCCTTCGGAAAAGGCAAACGATGTAGTTGGATCCCAAGGCAAGCAATAACAGAAACATTCATAGCAGAAATCCATGGGTTTTTTTTGGTCAACTCTGCATGTTTCTACGTTGTTGCTTTATTAATTTTTGTCTGAAATTTCAACGGTCAGCTAGACTTGAATAGATTTTTTTGAAGAGGGACAACTTACCCCC